ATAGAAATATTATTCATTATAACTCAAAGATTACATTGGTTTCATTCTCAAAGTGTTTTGAAGATTGGATTGTAAAGTGTCTCTGCTTCACTGGAAAACTACAAAACCACTGCTACTTCCCTTTTAAAATTCTGCTTCAGTATTCAAAATACAGCAGTAATTAAAGAGCAAATGGTACGTGCTGCCACTTCACTGCACAGCTCTTCCCTCAGCACTAATTGGATTCATGTCTTAATCCACCTTGAAACAAACAGCCTCAGAAACATGAAACCACATCAGGCAGCCCAACTTTGCATAAATGAGAGTTCTTAATAGAAGTTCATCTTACTTCACAGAATCATGCATCGTCTTACAGATATGCAGGAGAGCATTGAGTATAACAGGATCCTTTGTTGACTCCTGCTGATGCCTAGAAAGAGTTTTAGAAATAGTGGTGAAAATACTGCTCTGTCAGAACGGGAAAAAATGAGTAGAATAACATTGGTTTAATGCATAATTCCAATCACCAGCACTGTATGACACTGCACAAGTTTTAAGTTCATTTGTGATCCACAGAACACCAACAATCACGTGGTTAATATGTGTACAATTCCAACAAATGCCAGCCAAGAAATATTATCTTAACATACACAGCTGCACTGACAAGCCACAGACTCTGACTCCTTAAAGGACACAGTAAGGTGGACATGTGATACATTAAGGCAATCTAAAAACATCAAAACAAAACAACCCTAGATTTACCAAGATATAATATCATTTCTCAGCTACTCAGGGACAGACAGGAAGCATCAGTGTCAGGTTTAGGTACAGAGGCACATGTGCAGTGCAGCTCCATTAAGGTGATTAAGGGGCCTCAGCATCTCTCATATGAGCAAAGCCAAGAGAGGTGGCCCTGTGTGCCCTAAGGAGGCTTGGGGGGCTCAGCAGGGAGTATAAACACCTGAAGGGAAGGTGAAAATGAGAAAAGTGTTTCAAGAAACCTGTTAATTACTTGAAAAGAAAAGAACTGCTTGACCTTCAGAACAGTTGAATATATTTTTGTTTTCTAAGTTAATTTTCCACGGTAGCAATACTCTGTTCTGTACTGTCATAGCAACTGGAATGTGAAATAAATTTCATAAACCAACAAAGGCAACACAAAAAAAAAATAAAAAGCTCGGAGAACAACTATTCTCTTAACCCACAGCAAGTCAGCATCAATATAATTACTTCAACTCAGCTTTGTCTGTGAGCAGTCAAACAGTCCATCAATAGATTAACAAAACTGACACATTTTCTTTCTTCTTTCCAATACCCTGGAACACCTTCACAAACTAAATAGCCTGATTCCTCTTGCCTAGCCATCTTTCAGTAAGTTTCTCAGAGCTTCCAGAGTGCATTTCACTTCAACAGTCTCCACTCACTTAATAAAAGATTCCATAATGCACTTGCAAACCTCCACTCTCACACTTTCCTTCTGGAACATATCCAGAAATGGCAAGAATTTCTCCTGAAAGTACAAATACATAAAGAAGTAAAATTAGGCATGTTACAAAGAACACACTAAAACAATAAATACCTTGGATAAGTTTTATAAGCACAGCTATTTAGGTAAAACTATTTTCATATTTTCTGAAAACAGTAATTCATCTAAAAGGATGAAAAGTGGAACTAATGGAAAAGGAGTGATGTTCGCAAGATGAATCAATTTACAGATTGCAGAGATCTAGAAGGGAACACAAAATACAGGACTGTTTGAATCAAATGTTGCACTTTATTTTTAAAAGCAATCATAAGCTTCAAACAGCTGAAAATCATGACAAATTCAGAGATCCATGGGGAAAAATAGGTAAGATATTATAAACAATTAAAATAGTCCACACATCATCAACAATTTCACATCTATCCAGAGAAAGTTAAAAGGTCTAAGACATTCAAATTTCCTTCAAAAAACAAGGATCTAGGCTGTTTAATACACTAAAATGCTTAATTTCTGAATCATCTCAAGAATATACTGAATATAAGTTTTTCAGAATTATCCAAGCAATTTGTGAACAAGACTTGACCCCAAATGCACAGCACCATTCTTGAGTTTCACTCTTCCAATGGTTTCTGTACTTTGACACACACTGTCTGCTGTGTTTATACCTCATACACAGCCTCCAGTCTCTCTGAGTTCCACTTTGTTTCAGTGCCAAGTGTAAGTGCTATGAGAGGGTATGTTAAGTATGTATCATAACACAGAAACAGCTACCAGCAATTACATTAACACACACAAATAAATGGTATTTCATCTTCCATTGATTGTCATTTATGCCACAGTAACAAACAAACTTAGAGAATTTAACAGCCTAATGAAAAAAAGTATAGAAAACTGGAATTGGATTAATAAGTACTAAAGTAGTAAGCAGAAGAAAGCTCACAAAATATTTCTGCACTTAGCTACTTGACAAAAAGTCCTTGCATTCTGTGAACTTGTAAATAATCTAAATATCCCAGTTAAGGTAAATTATCTTGCAGAAAAACTGCCTAACAGTTCTTCTTAAAATTTTATTAAAGAGAATATCACTTACCACTGAAAAAAGCAGAGCAAAGTCATAGATGTAGGTAATAACTTTCTGAATAATTGTCTGCAGCTAAAGGGAAGAAAAAGGAAAAGTTAAAAAAAAGGGGGAAATTATTGTAATATGAGTTAAATTAAGACTATCCACACCAGCGATTATTCTTCTCTAGTTATTCATAGAAAACTGTTTTGAAAGATACTTTAAGCATTCATCAACATAATTTCTTTCCCCAAAGCAGGACAAACTATAGCTATTCCTACATACCCTTCAGAACCCATATTGAACAGAGGCTGACCAGCCTGCCCAGGCTTTATTTGCTCTTCACTTCCATAGTTAGGCACATTTTTTCAAATTTAGAATCTCCATGTCCTCCAGCTCTCTGCACTAAAAAACTCAGCCAAATAAATAAAGAAGAAAAACCCAAACCAGTTTTGTAAATATTCTTTTGTAGGCATTTTTTCTACCCCTCAAGTAACTACAAAAATGTCCTCAACTAATCCATATTTCATTTGGTATTCAGTCTCAAGAACTGGACACAATAATTCACTGAAGCCTTAACAATGCCAAGGAGAGATAGACTATTTTATGGTTTTCTTCTGTTTATACAACCTACCATGATTGCAAATTTCCTTCAGCATACACCACTGTTAATGTAGGAGTTAACTAATGGTACTTCTAAATAGATACATCATTCAAGTTTAGCATTTCTTAAAATTAAAAGATTGATGCGCATGGCAAAAAAAGGAGAAATAAATCACAGCATTACAGTGTTCCAAGAGGCTTCCCAAATTATAGCTAGTGTTTAAAAATAATTATCTTATTACAAGAGTTTTCAGCAATGCTTAAGAATGAATCCCATTTAAGAAAATGCATATCAGATTTTTACAGATTTGGCAAAATAAACTCTTTACCTGTGGGTAAGCATCTTCAAATGCTCGATCAGGAGTCATGTGTTTGATAACATCAGCCAGAACTGTATTGACCTCTCGCTTCTGTGTAGCAAAAACCAAGGTTACAAAATGAAATTGGCACATAAATCGAGTCACTAAACACCAGTTGAGGAGGATAATTTATTTCCATTTGCCAAAGCATCAGCTTTTTACAGAGCTCTAGTTAAGCCAGGAACTTTACCATAGCTCCAGTAAATCCTTACTTAAACTGATCCATCTGCCATTAAAATGAAAGGATAAGAAACATTCAGTGCTGTGGGGTAGTAAAGCTTCAAAGCTGCATCTTTTGTCCTCATTCATCTTTCATGAAAGGAAACACATTTTTTCATTCCTACACATTTATACATAATAGTCAAAGCCTTTCCATCTTTAATACCAGACTGCTAACACAGCCACTTATTCTGTATCAGAAAAATTCAAAGGAAACAAAGTCATTTTCACCTACCGTAAAGTGTCTGCACGTATACTCCACCCACACTTCAGCACAGTTGATATAATCCTAGAAAAACATGTGTCTTATGATTACCAATATTTGCAGGAGACTGAGAAATACTCTTGCAAAAGTTACACTTAAAAGAATTAACTCCTGATGTATGATTCATGCAGACCTAAGGATCTAGACCTCCAAATTTGCATTTGTTTAATAATGTTATGTAAAATTAAGTTATGCTTCAGAAGAGCTAAGAAAAGCAGGGATGACCCAAAGATATTACAGCCATCACATTTTTTTTTGCAGCTGTGTGCATTTAGAAAAGGTTAACAATGTCATGCTAAGCACGTGCTTACTGAACAACTGGCTACAGCTTTGCTCTAAACACAGAATCAGTAGTGAAACAGAATGGACAGTAACTCACCTGTGGATTCTTCAGCTTTGTTATAACCTTCCAGGCTTCATTTAATATTTGAAGACGATCATTTTCAGGAGGATCAGCCAATGCCAAGTTTAATCCCAGGGAGCGAAAGAGGAGATGCTGAAAGTTAATGAGAAATTTTTAATTAAAAGCAGACAATGCATGTCCCTCCAAGACTGGTCTGGCAGGTACAGTGTGCAGAAAGATTTTCAGATCTAAACACTTGAAAAACTTTACTCAAGTGACACACAAGTTATGTAGGCAGCTAAGAGCATAAAGACCTCCGTCAAAGGAAAGGAATTGTTACAAATTAGATACAAAATGTTACCTTTGGGAATCCAGACTCATCACACTCTTTAATCATGCCAATGAAGTCCATTGATCTCGCAGCAATAAACTCTGCTCTGAACGCCGACATTACTGAATTCAACAGCAAAGCACTGCAATGAACACAACCTAAATCAATAGAGCTCAACAGCAACTCAAGATTTAGTAATACCTGCATTTACATTAATCTGAACTTCTTAGGCTAACAACTGTCCAGCATCTATTGTAAATTTTAAAAGAAGAAAGGTAATAAGGAAAAAAGACTCTCACACAAATCAAGCCTGCTTTGATGAGGATTAATAATGCATAAGCAAAACAAGAAAACATTAAGCTACCAGAAAAGAAAAGGTAACCCAGCCTGTAAAATACCTATTCCACGCAGGTGTTTCTGAAGCCATCATTTTAGCAGGAATTTACTACAAATATGAAGCAAACCAGGAGTAGCTGACATTTAGAAACTTACTCTCTGTTTAACTACAGTTCAGAAGAATACTTAGAGACAGCAAATCTCTATTTAAATTTTTACTAATTAATTATATATGCATTATAAAAGCCACATTGATAGGTTTAAAATAAATCCGAAGTCACAGTCATGTGATAAACTGACAATGACATATTTAGACATTTCTGATTAAACATTCAGACAGGTATTGGTGTTACCATCAAGCCAAAGCCACAATGGAAGAGTGAACTCCCTGCATCATCCTGTAACATCCAGTTTACTCAGCCATGAGTTAGCTCAAGAAGCTGCCTCACAAAACACTGTGCCCTTCACTAGTCTCAGACAATTTGAATACAAGGCAGTTTACCTTGAGGGAAATTCTGTGGAGTGCTTAAAATAACCCAGCAGTTTCTGTGTTTCTGCCTAAGCCTTAGTGGTCCCATCACAATTTGACTGGAATTTGCATTTTATCATTAGACAAGCACTTCCAGTTCACCAGGTCTATGCTTTGCAATACAGAGAGCAGGCTGTCACTTTTCACTTAGATGGCTGCAAAGTAGCTCATGGAACATATTGAGATTATTTAAAGATTTATATCCTGATGCCTCTTGCTTTGTAGTATTTTGACAGTCATGAGAAGATACAAAAACACAGAACTCCACTTTGGAAGACTACTGTTTTAAACTGGATTACTCAATTTCCCAATAAAAAAGACAGTCCCAAATACATTTCTTTAAAAAACAGTCATTATACTCAACATTTTATCCTTTCTTCAAAGAGAAAACAGGAACAAAGAGGAGGAACCTAGCCCATCTTCACAGTGAAAAATGCTGAAAGTTGATTTGAAAGTAAGTTCCACAAAACAAAAAACCTGTCCAAAACAATTTGTACATCAGAGGATGTGAATTATTTTTATCTGTTCTACACACTCTGATACAATACCACTTTCACAGCACATTTTTTAAATCATGCTTTCCCCATGCTCCTTAGCTCAGTCACAGAATGCTGGCATTCCTCAGCAAAGTGATTAACATATTTTAGTTCTTCAGCTGCTGCAGAATTGTACTGTGCAAAGCACATCAGAAAAAAAAAATAGATAGCTAAAAAACTCACTGAACTCAGCCAAGCTACCCAATAAAAATGAACAGAGAGGAGCCCATCAACAAGGCAGACTGCATTCACAAAGCTCAGTAAGTACATCCAACTTTCAGACCAGACCATCTTCCTGAATCTGATTACCCTGCACAAAAACTTCAAGGAGATGTTTGAGATGCTAATTTTAATACTGAAAAAGCAATTCCCTAAATATTACCACCTTCCAAAGGTTGCCAGCAGGCTTACAACTTCCCTTGCTGAATGCATGTATGGCCTGCCAGCAGCCAGTGGAGGATGGGGGAAAGAAGGGGAGGTAAACCCAGAAAAGTGAAGCAAAACCAGGAATCAGAGACGTGTCTAACCGAGAACACATTGGATTCCTAGACTTTGGCTTAGGAGCCAGAATGCAGCAACCAAGTTAAACTAATTAACTTTGGCTTGACAAGTAATCTACCATATTTTAGAATTCATCTCTGGAAAACAGATGTTCATAATCATGATTTAGTAAGCTACTGGGAGAATGAAAGCTGCACTAAGCATCCAAACTGTTTCCAAAAAAGAGAGAGAGAACATTATTCCAGGGACTCAGGGGTACTCATTACAGACTCCTGTCTTCTACACTCTGCAACACTTACTTGTTCCCCAGCTTTTTGCATCTTTCCATCATCTCAGTAAGCAGAACCTGGAAAAATGACTTATTAAAATTAGTGAATAGAGATTCTGTAAATATATTCAGCTTAATTACTGTACTGAAATCTATTAAAAGCTGTTTTAGTTATCTCTTCAATACATTCCAATAGTTCTCTCTTATGTTATATTTACAGCAAAACAATGGCGTAGCATAACATAAAACACATCTTCTGGAACAGGTACAGTGGCATTTCAACCAAAACCACCATTTTATGAAGTCAAATCTGCAATCCTTCATCCATGCCATTGCTCCAGGTAATCAGTATTTGCCAGCCAGGTCAGTTATCTCTGGCAGGAGAGATGAAAACTCTGCCAAACTGGCAGAGGTTGAAACAGCCTGTTAACTATGTTAAGCTACTGTTTTAGTCAAATAATTTGTATACCTGTATGACAAAAGAAACTGATGAATTCAGGAAATAAAGATTAAACTAGCTAAAGAGCAGCAAGAAACAAACAGGAATACTGCCTATGAACTTGAAGTGGTCACACTTGAGCTTTGTGGAAGCAAACATTGTTCCCATACAGAAAAGAGCATCAGACAGTCCTATGAAGGCTTTTTTTACTCGCCTTCACACTCATGTAAGAACTGCCTGAGGGGTGGTTTTTTCAGTAGGCAAAATTAACTCTCCACCACAACACTTCCTTTAGTATTGAACACTACCACGTTCACTTACATCTGGAGCATGGTATGCAATACACTGTAAAATCCAGTCTATAGCAGGAGAATATAGGGTCAAATACAGAGGGATCTCCACACATTGCACCACCAGCTGGTTCTGAACTGTATCCCCGTGTATCTGTTGAAATAAGAGACAAAACATGTTGCTGTGAGAAGGTATTTAATGGGAGATATGCCAAACAGGTCAAAGTTTGTGTATGAATGGAAACAACAACAGACAGTAGCAGAAAAGTACAGATACCAAGCTGGGGGAAAAACATATCAAGCTCCTAACACATATTATTCGTCTGGAAGCATGCTGAATAGAGCAGTTTCAAATTATCAAAATGTATGTAAAATTTCCCGTACTGTATCTGGATGCAGAAACACCCCTACATTTGAGAACTTCTAAGATTTTTTTGAAGTATGTGACAGTTTGATTAAGGACTGTATTTATCTGATTTTGCAAATAAAACACTTATTTGCTTACTTGTTTAAATGTTAGGAGAAAGTCAAAAAAGTTTTTGTTCAGGCTTTCTTTGAGTTGTGGTGCCACTTCCATCCCAACCTGTATTAAAAGAAAAATATTTTATAGGCATCTATCAATTCTCCTTCACAATGAGATAAAAATGCCTTTCTTGAAGGAATACACCCAAGTCACACACATCAAATCAACAAACAGCATTGAATCACACGCTTTTGACTGATTATTTCCTTGCTTATATTATAGTCATGCCCACTAGCAACTACCCTGAGGCAGTTACAGCTGTTTTTAAACAGATCCTAACATCAGCTCAAATATCTGTAAGCCTGAGGAAATCAACATTACTCCAGTGCACTGCAACAACCTACAGCAGCACACAAAATTATTCTTACTTACTACAAACACTTAAATAGAGATTCCCCATTCATAAAACAGAAGAGAAATAATTTTTTGTTTGTCTATTGAAAGAAAGAGACAAGCTGCTGACTACTTGAGATAAAAGCAGTAGTTCCTTGAAGCAGTGGCAGCACTGGCTGCAATAAATCTTTGATACAGATCAGAGGAGGTAAATGACAGCCTACCCTGCAAAGGTATGCTCTGGCATAGACTGCAACCAGTGGATCTCCAATTCCTCTGATCATAGATGTTAACCGTGGGAGACATTCCGAAATGCCCCTGTTTTTATCAGAAATGAAAATGAGCTTCAACAGTCAACAGAATTGTATCACCTACAGATAACTTCAGTTGCTGCCTTGTAGGCTAAGAATTGAGCATGAGTTATAGAAATATCTATCAAAGAAAAAGGATACTAGCACAGAAATTTATTTCATAAGTAAAATTCTCTGTGTACAGTAATACATATCCTATATTCAAATTGCAGTATTTGCTATTCAGAGCAAGACAAATAAAACTAAAGAACTCCTCCCCTAGCTTGGAGAACAGCAGAGCTATGGAAAAGCTGTAACTCAATGTAAGGAAACCAGATGCTTAAAGCAGAATTGGCAAAACTCCTTCCATGTCTCATTTTCCCACAGGTCCTTTTTGACAGAGCTGTACTAGTGCCTGGATATGAGGCCCACTAATTCCAGTAAAAGAACTGCATTTTAGGGATGATAAAGTTGTCAGTATAGTAGCAATTTGGCATCCAACACTCATTTCAAAATATAACTGAAGAAGGACAATTATAAGGGAAGGAACATTTTCTGCTCAGCAGCTGGCACTGTTTGGCAACACATTAAACTTGTATCAAAGTTTTCAATAGATAGAGGTTCACTGTTCCTAAATGATTTCTCTTACTCTGTCTCTCCCACTATGACATCAATATTTTCCTTTCACTTTTCTATCCTTTTTCCACTCCTCATGTCAAAAATCTTCCTTTCCCTCCACCATCAGAAGCCACTAGTTTTCAATTTGCACAATTTTGGATTTGTGACCCCTGATATCACATTTGTACATACATTTGAAAACTGAGAGCACCATTGTATTTCAAAGTATATCACAGTTCACCTTTAATTTTTTTCATGGTATTCTCATGAAAAATTCCTAAAGTCCTCTGTATTGCTTCTCAGTTCTGCTAAGATCCTACCCACTACTAATCACAGAACTCTCATGCTTAATTCATTGAATTAGTTCCAAAGTCTGCCCATTCACTTCCTTCCCATATTTAACATCATTCTTACGTTTTGGATAGGAATTTATTGCACTTCAGTATTGCTGCTTCCACATAACTAAATTGAAGCCAAGTTAAGGAACAAAACTGAGATTCACACCAATGAAAAACCTGAAGCAAACATACACCAAATGAATATTGACCAAACTATTTTAAGGCCTTCTCTAATTAATGTCACTACACTTTGCTGATTTTTACAATTTATCTACATGATTTTGTTTCAAAATTTTTCATGCATCATCTCTATTTTGTCACTGCCAAACTGCTCAGAGCCAATAATTAAGCATTCAGTTTACTATGAAACATGACTCAAAAGTACATTCAAAACATACAGGCTGAAACAAACAAAACAAAGCCAGTATAAACATCAGGTCCTGTGGGTTTTATTGAAATAAACATGTTCACTTCTGGAAAAACCTACAAAAAATCTGCAGACACACTCTGAGGGTCTCATTTGACAAGGATACAATCTGGGAATGAGTTCTCTGATTGAAGCAATCTTGAAAAACCAGTTTAAGCAAGTTTCTTTAGCCGTATCATTAACACTCTCTGGAGAAAAATTATCTGGGAAAACAACTCAGAAATAGTTACATTCTTTCTGTAAACAAGTTACTATTCATGTTAGGTTTAAAACTGTACTCTCTTTCCATTCATCAAGAAATGAAGTGCACAATAATAAACTTGGCAATACATCTGCTTCTCAGCTCTCTTAAGCAGCAGTCAGAGCTGAGTACATAACAAGAAAAGGTAACAATCCTGTAGTAAATATCATTTCAGAACCTGAATTCAAGCACTTGGGGCTCATCTCAGAGCAGCTACTGAGAATCCAATCTCTGCCTCTGATCTTCCAAAATCAGAAATTGTAAAAAGAAAGAAAATATAGAGAATCTGTAACAAACACATGTACATAAATCTATAATGACTAGAGAACATGCAAAAGAGATTTAAGCACTAAAATAGTTTATTTTAAAAGGCTAATATAAATTTTAAATAATACTATTGCAAGAAGTAGGAAATAATGAATATGGACAAAAACCTTGTTTCTGTACACTGAACATAACCCCTCACAAACTCCTTGTGAAACCATTTAGAACACCAGCACTCTCCCAATCCTGCCTCCACAAAGTAAGAAGCTCCACAAGAAAGTTTCTGACTTCCAGCATAAGAGAAGCCACATGTTAGAACTTCCTGCACTCAGTATCTTTCTCATCTAGGACCTCAGGAGTTCTCATTGAACTTTGTTTCATTTGGTTCCCAAGGGACAAGCTCAGAGGTGGGGCCTGAAATCCCCAAAGGTTCACATGCACAGTCAGCACAGCACAGATTTTCCTTCTCCCTCCCACTTTCAGAGCTGCTTGGGAAGTTCCCACCAGCAATGCCTCTGGCAGCTGCAGCAGGAGCTCAGCTCCCCAGAACAGAGGCAACGGTGCCCAGAAATTGTGACATGCTATGGGAACTGCCTGCCTTCGTTAATGTTTGTAAGAGCAGCTTATCAGATCTTTTCTCAGTTCTTTGCAACAACCAAATTTATCTTAACTGTTCTCTCTAGGTTCATTTCAAATTTCAGTATTTGTCAGTTTCAAGTTTACAGCTCCAATCCTATGGATTTAACTGCAAACTAATGGTACTGTTCCACTGCCAACTACAGAATGTTTCATCTTGCAAGGATGTGCACTTAATGCACTCCAAATTGCAAGGAAATGCCTGTGTTTTCCATGGAATGTTTCAATTTCTTGCTAAAGAGGTTCTTTCACCTGTAATGTCAAATTAGATTTTTACATTGTGTTGGAATTTAAACTGAAAAAAGAAAAAGGGCCCAGATTATAAAGATTATGCTAGAAGCAGCCTGTTGCTACTTCCAAAATTCTCCTTTTATTACAGCAAAGCTATCAAGTTTTCAGTGTAGCAACAAAAACATCTATTTACCAAAAACTGAGACTCTTAGCTTTGTTACATTTCTGCCATTAACCTTAAGCTACTAAACTGTAGTACTCCTAGAAGAGAGCATATACTACGACAAAAAAGGAAAAAAAAAAGTCTTCCTTCATCTAACTTGGCCATTCCTGTTTAATTCTCCCCCTCCTAATAAACTCTTTATTAGAGAATTTACATGATTCTTTGTGATTTCAAGCTCAGAAAGACCCAGTTTACATTTAGTAACAGCAGAGCCACACGCACACTTCATTATATCTTAGGTATATCCTTCACAATCAAAATGTAATTTTGCATGAACACTGTGAACAGCAGAAGCTGAAAGCAATGGATTTTACTCTGTTAAAAACTAAAAGCTACTAGATTCAAATCAGAACCATTTCTATAGGAGATAGAGTAGCAATGGTCCTGTTTAACCTTCCTCAAGGTTGGGCATGTTTTTTTTCTGGAGCACAGTGGAAACAAACAGAAAGTTACCTGGTAGAGAGACTCGGTTATCCATGCACATTGACAGAATTCTTTCATACACCAGTTTCCCTGGTTAAAAAATAATAAAAAAATAAAAACAAATTAATAAACGATAAAACACAAAATGTTGGTACAAAGGTTCCCTTTCCAACACAGACTGAAATTAGATGGAAAAAGCTTCCTAGAACACTGACATTTTGCTGCCCTCTAGTGAGGCTGAAATGTTCAGTGTGATTTAGCACTTCTCACACTATAAAAACATTCTCTGGCTCCCTTAAGTGCAGAGGTAACACACAGGTCAGATTCCTCCCAGGCCAGGAAAGGACAGCTGCTGTCCTGACTTTACTGAGTTTGGATATTATGTTATCTTCAGCAGCTTTCAGCAAGTAGGAAGGAGCACAAAGAGGAAGCACGGCCTGAAAAAACAATTGGATCTACGTTGCAGCATATCCTGCTGGCACCAAAATACCCTGCAACTTTGAATATCATTGTAAATCTTTTCCATAACATGGCAGAAAAATAATAGAGTCACATGAAGTGGATGACAATTTCACAAGTTTAAAAATATATTAAAAAAATCAGTAACTACATTCTGATCATTTCATAGTCCCTATTCAGCCAAAGAAAACTTTCTGACTTCTATTCTTCAAATACAAAAATAATGAAATATTGAGTCAAAAGGCTGCCAAAATCAAAATATTTTTATAATGACAATGTGTTTTAAATTTCAAAATTCAGAGATCATGATTTTTCCTAATATTTTGTTCTACATGTTCATTAATACATAAAGGACAGAACCACAATATTAAGTATTTTTATCTTAAGGACTTTGCTCTGAGGAGATTTTTCTACAATTATACACCATGCTTACTACTGGTGTCCAAACGTTTTTGCTGGAAACATTCCATGTTAAAACTAAATCCTTTTTGGATAACTGATGCTTTCGAACACTACAAAAAAATAACCTTATTAACAAATGTGTAGTAAGTCTGGCACAGTAGATACTTACCAAAAGTATCAAGGATATCTGTAATTAAAACAAATTTACTTGGATAAAACTGGATTACTGTTGTGTCTGAGAGAAGCTTAGAACACTAGAAGAAGAAAAAAAAAAACATTTTTAGAAGCCAATGCAAGTTTGTGTTTTTACTCCAGAAAAGCTGGAATGGATGAATATCCACAGATATACAAGGGCCAACATGAAGCACAAGGACATTTAACATAGCAGACCGTGGAGCTTGTTGTGATTTTCAGGTTTCATTTCCAAAGCTACACAGACCTGGTTTTCTTTTATACAGGGTAACCTACAATGCTGAGTTTCAGGTGACCATGAAGATCTGTGCATTTGTTCAGGCAAGACTAATTCTCTCCCTGACAAAGCACTAAAAGGCACTTCTCTAAAATCACTTTTTTTAAGGATGGTGTTCAGTTTTTCACCATCTCTTTAAGCATCCATATCAAATACAAAATGTAATATAGATTAAATTAAGAAACAATTTTAAAAGTGTAGTTAATGAGCTTTCCAATGCATTTCTGCAGCTCACATAACTAGTTCAAACATTCTGGAAAAAGACTGAGGGACAGCCAGCTCCAGGGAGGACTCTGTAATCAATCACCACCCACTGGGACACAACCTGATCATGGCATTTGGACTACAATGATGGCTGGTACAAAGTCACATTTGAAAATCTATTACCCACTTAGTTCTACTCTCATTCAGACCAAGAAGAAATACGTCCATTGATCGTATGAATTCAAAATACACGCTGAGGAATAAAGATATTTCTAAGATATTTAATTAAGCTAGACTTTGTTTTCCAAGATTAAACTGGAGTCAAAAATTTGGCAGAAGGTTACTCACAAAAAAACAGCTTCTACCAAAAGAAAACAGGTGAATGACTGATTGGGGAGAGAAACCCACCTCTTCCTTGCTTAAGCCAAATGTGGCCTCTGGCCTGGCATTTTCTCTGGTCTCCAAGACTGACACGATTTTCTATGAGCTCCATCCTTTCTCTGTCCATCACCATTACCACTTTTCTTAGAACTCACATACATAATCAACTTACTTCAGCTTACTCTAAGTAGCTTAGCATACTCCATCTTGACAAGTAAAGTATCTTGAAAAAAGGCACTTGAGGAATCATAGAATGGCTTAGGTTGGAAAAGACCTTGAAGAATGTTGAATCCAACCTTTAATCTATCACTGCCAAGATCACCAATAAAAAATATCCCCAAGTGCCACATCTACACATCTTTTAAATACCTCCAAGGATAGTGATGTCACCACTGCCCTGAGAACTCTGGTCAAGTGATTTCACCTTTTAGGTGAAAAAAATTTTCTAACCAGAAGTCAAACTCACTCCTCCTACTGCATACTAACCAGTCTGTAATAATAATGACAGACTGTGCATACAACCACAGCCTGATGCCAAGAGAACTGCTCAGCTCATTCAGGGGATACAACACTCTGCAGGAAGAAGCACAAGTAAAGTTCCATGAGGGTTCTACCCTATCCTGCTTAATAACTATAGAATTATTATCCTTCATTAAACTTTTCAATTCATTTATTACACAAGTACCTATTCCATTCTCAGCCAGTCTTTCAATTAGTGATAAGCATCTGCAGCATTAAGTGCTAAGTGAACAACATTTCAGCAGAGATAAACACATTCAACTTTGGTACCACTTTCCTAAAAGGAAGCACTGGATGCCCTGTTAGAAACTGCATTATTTCAAAACTGTTTGTGAACCAGTTGCAAAAGAACATATGGAAGTATCAATGCATAGATTATCACTGCATTATCACACACACATATATATTTTTACACACAAAACACTGTAAGTACAGTACATCCCTGCTGCTTTTCTTCTCATCCAAAGACAATATTCACACTTCACAATCCTATATATGGATTTTTTAAAAAAGAACAATAGTGCTGATTTCATAGTATTACAGTAGTACATTAGTCACCATAGGTCACATATAATTGTTTGATCTCACTTCATTAATGTTTCATTTTCTTTTTTGTCTTGACCACAATTTAAGATGAAATTATTTCAAGCAGTTTTCACAAGAGTATCCATAATGACCAAAAAAATCCTGACTTTATATAACCCCACTGGATGACTATGAGCATTACATCAGTTTTACAGCTTTTAAGGATGTCATTATCTCATCCGTCCTCTGCTGCACTCTGCCTCTGGCCTTTTTTAAAGGCCAAACCAAACAAAAGAGCATTTAACTGTCCTATTTCCCCATGCCCTCCTCAAAGCACACCACCACAAATGACCCAAAGGAAGACTATGCACAAGTTCTCAAACAAACAAACAAACAAACAAAAAAAAACCCATACACACAATTTTTAAAATCTGGAGCTGTTTTTGGTAGCTTGCTAAGGTCCTAAATCCCTTTATTTAATTTCCCTGCTAAGTCTGGATGGGTAAAATTCTGGTGTTCAAAAAGATATTCTGGTATTATTTGTGGGGAGCAAGGGGCTGAAGAAGAAGAGGACAGAAAAGTAAATCAATGTCCTACAAAGAGCTGATATTGCTACATGCCATTTGTTCCAACTATCCTTAAGCAGGTAAAATTTCCATATCTGTCATCTGGTGACTCAGTGAGAATTCCATCTCACTTAACCTAGTCAAAACCAATACATAACAGCAAAGCTGAAAATCCAACTATTGTCAGAAGTCATAAAACTCTAGAAGTAATGTGCTTCAGAGAAGAACAAAAGAAAATAACAGAAAAAAAGTAGAAACCCTTCTTTTCCCAAGAAGGAAACTGGACAAGTTATATCACAAATCTCACTGGTTCTGCATAGAACAAAGATATAAAACTGACCTGGATTACTATTTTGAGAGCTTTTACTTTTTGATCTGAGGACCATGCATCCTTTAAAGACTGATTCAGTTCTTCAATTCGGTTCATGTAATCCTGCTGAGTCAAATTCAACAGCTCTTTCTGCGACCCCTGGCAAGAAAACACAAACCCATTTAATAAGAGCAGGAGGGAAGGAAGGAGAGTGCTGTTATTATAGACTCAAGTCACCATGTTGTGGGGGAGAATCCTACAAAATTTATTACAACTTCCCTTCAGGTCTTTGGAAAGTAGGTTATCTCACTTTTGCACAATAAAATACTGCAGAGAAATAACTTCAGTACTTGGTATTTCTATCAAGCTCATAACTGTAACTTAAATTAAACTCAGGTAAACATATGCAGCATCTGCAACAGGGGTAACAGAATTATCAGATGTTAAGACTACAGGGCTCCACAAAGTTTTACAGCAGTTAGAAGGCAAATCAACAGCAGTAGATCAGGTGAATTTTGAAAACACAATTTCTAGTGATACAAAAATATGATTCTGCCTGAATCCTGTAACAATAAGGATTAAAATTACTAGAGGATTCCAACAGAAAGTACATCTTTATCTAAATAGTGCACTAGCAGAATCAGGACCTTTTTTAAAGGCTTCACAAAAGATTTTTATTTCACAATTCCTTTGACTTTTATAATGATGCTATAACTTCATCAGAAAACTTCCTCACCTCTTCCAGATCATCCAGTTCTTCCAGCCTTGTCCTCACTTTTTCAGAAACTGCTGAACCAGTAGTTGTGGATTTTCCTGAAAAGAATTACAGATGTAATTTTCTTTAACATTTAAACACTTAGACTTCTAAAGAGAAACAAACCTGAAGGAGCCTGACATGGACCAGTCAGCTTCTGTGACAGAAGACAAGTGGTTCAATTCATTTAGTGATTATTCCTGAAGACACATATCTTAACATACCTACAGTGCATTCAGTTTGAACAAGGGCAGTAACAAGTAATGAAAATTGGATATAAGTGGATTTTCCCACAAGTTTTACCAGTAAGAAAGGAATCACCAGATAGAACCATGGGATAATTAAGAATAGAAAAGCTCTATGGAGGTCTGTGTCCAACTCTCCTCCTAAAAGCCCATCCAATTCTTAAGTTGTAACAGTTGCACAGGTTTATAGCCAGTTAATTTAAAGGTATCTAAGGATACAGATGTCACACTCTGTCTGAACATCCATTTTCAGTGTTTGACTACTCTCATTGTAAAATAGTATTTTATATTTTTGCAGATGCTGAAATGCTGCATGTTTATTCATACATAAAAATCCTGATTTACTATGCTATGATTACTGCCCAGATTCTCTTTGCTAGAAAACATGATAAAATATTTAACATTTGGTTCTTTTTTAAACACCCAGCATACATTTGAAATCACTTCACTTTCATGTAAAGAGAATAACTGAACAAGTTCCCAAAGGACTTGTCTGCTTTCCTTCCAGCTACCAGAAGAGTTGATAAACATAATCTTCAAAACATCATTTCTCAGTTTAAATGGAAGAAAGTTTTAAGCTACAGTGGAAGGCAGTGCAGTGAAATAATCACAAATTCCTAAGTCCACAGGAGTAAAAGACAAGGTGGATGGGTGCCTTATTTTCAATAATTATTTTTAATAAATATCCAGACATCTTACCCACAAAAAAAGCAAGGACCATGATGTCAGAATGGAGAGGCAGGAAAACACATTTCAACTATTCTTGACCACAAACCTGTCACTGCACTCTGCCTCAAGCAAACCCTATTACTGGTAAAGAAAGTGCTCACCTTTTTCAGATCCCATGTACAGATTCTGTGAGGAAGCAGAAAAAGCAGACTTAGAAAACATGTACTCACTAGCATTCCAGGAATGCATAGGGTAATTACACTGATAATTAACTCTTTAATCATTTAGAAGAAGACACAAGATCAGAAGTTATTTGCATTGTTAAAAAGAGAAAAAGTGATGACTTCTAAATATCAAGAGACTTGGACTCAGCTCTAAAACAATCTTTACAAGCGAGAGTTTGTGATTCAGTTTCCTACAACATTAAAACTGAAATTTAGAAGATGAGTATTTACCCATGAAAGAATTATAAAACAGCAACATCCAAAATCCATTAAACGTCTAGTACAAATTAAATAAACTGTGGCAGCCACCACTTACAATAGAAAGCTTCTCTGTTGTTGTGTATCTAGCAAGGATTTCACCACGTTTGTTTGACCATGGTTCAAAGTCACTTCCTACTGCTGAGCTCTCATCTTTTTCTCGTTTCCTTCGTGCACCATCCTGTAACAGTGCAAAAGTTAAATACAGATCTGGAAAAAGAAGAAAAGGCTGATAAAGGCCAACTTAATGTTCCAAGTGCTAGCTGATCCTTTCAAAAGTTACAATAGTTTTTAAAAATCCTTATTTAAATAAATACGTCAACATAAACCAGATAAAAGCAGGTAAACAAAAAAGAATATGTTGTTAATATGGTATATTTACTATATTAACCTCATCACTATTGAGACAAGACATTGTATCCAGGGTTGGCTTTATGGTTTTGGTTTGGTTTTGGTTTTATTTTACTTAGTTAACTGCCCCCAGCATTACCATGGGAGGAACAGTAGTCACAGGATCTGCAGCTGCTGCAAACAATGACAAGGGATCGGTGCCATCCAACACACTGCTCAGTGGGTCCATCATAGAACTCGAGGAAGAGGAGGAGGTGGAAGATGTACTTCCCTTCCGGTTCATCTTCTTCGTCTTGGATTCAGTAACCTAAAGAAAAAGTTCAGAACTGTTTAACAAAAAGGCTTTCTCTTCCCTCACTGTTCTGTAATAAATCATCATATTTATGCTACGTAAATTGTACTGTTGCAATGAAAGCAAGAAGACATCAAACAAATTCTTTGGAATGAGCACCAGCATTTACATTGAGGCCCCCTGTTTCCCAAAATCTGGAGGCATTCACTCTTCTGTAGCATTTCCACTGCTTTTTTTTTCCTTCCAATTCTAGGTCTACAAAATTGTAAGAACAACCACTCTGAATATCTTTCTAGTACCCCTCCTCTATTTTATTAGGTTTGTCCCTGTCTTCCAAACGCTTTCTTGCTATTTAATTTCCTCTGCCAGTTTCAGCTTTACTTTTCTCGTATGAACACTCAAGCCTAGAACATCAAATCCATACCTCAGGCCACCATCTTCTCTCCCTGCTGACCTTCCTGAGCAGAAGCTGCTGCCCATTTATCATTCATTAGTGGGTAACTCATCTCTTTGAAGCAGGATTTTTTCTGTACATCTTTAAAAGCCTCTTACACATCAAAGAAATTATAAATGTTTTAAAGTACACAGCTGACTGGAAGCTAACCCAAAACCAAACTTCACATCAAGCAATTATGCAGGTCATTTGTAATGCAACAATTTGATTTTAAATTTATCCATTATTCAGCATTTAATGCAACCAAGAAAACCTACTACCTGGAGGTGCTGTGTTTGTCAGGAGACTCTTTCTGACACCAAACAGCACCAGCAAACTTCTGTAAAGGGCAAACAGAATAAACCTTGTTGCCTCTACAACAGGTCACTAGCACAGAAAGCAACTTCACAAGTACCACCACCAGCCTCATAGCCTTTTAATTTTAAAGGAACTGACATAAAAAGAGGTAAAAGGAGGAACACAACCAGTCTGAATTCAGATTTATTTTCTTAAAGCACAAAAAAACTCACTGTAATGGGTTTCAATGGATGGTAATCGCCAAAGTCCAAGGGTACAGATTCCAGTTTGCATACTTCAGATTCTGACACATAGTTCCTTGATCTTGCATGCCTTAAAGAGTGAAGGGAAAGTGTACATGCATATAAATAACCACATACTAAGAGAGAAGCATAGCCTACATACACACAAATGCTTATTTACAAAAAAAAATTGAAAAATAAGCAAGCATAAAGATCCAAATTTTTCTCTACCAAGATAACATAAAACTAAAACTGGAGAATTTTTACTTTCAGCCATTTAGTTGTACTTTTTTTCAGTCTTTGAAACATGCAGAGCTGCTAATTGTTATTTTTTTTTTTCATTCAAGATCCTGAGAATGTTTATAGCACACACTACTGCCTCAGCTGAATGAGTAAAATCAGACTCCTAATGAAATCAAATAGCACTTCCCCTTTATAACACACATCTTTCCCACAAGAATTAATCCAAACTTTCAAATAATTCCATTCCTACTCAAAGACATAACTCATTTGGAAGATTTTCAGCAGTGCTAAGCAGCCAGCTCTTCTGCAGATACCATGTACCCAAAAAATCCAAGTTTCCTTAATAATGAATTACTGATTAGATTATTTATGGTTGTGCCACTCCAAGGAGAAACTTTTGACATCTAGTGAGATAGAGCAGAGCAAAAGAAAGAATCCAGTGAAATCCACATGCTTATTTGTTTTCTTGATCTTTTGCTATTATCCTATTGTTCAATGACTCTTCTTGCTCATTTGCATCATGGATTAATCAGCATCTGGGTGAAAAATCTTCCAAATTCTTTCTGGCTACACAATTATAACATTTCTTTAACTGTTGACAGCTCTCGCAGCATCTCCAGGCCAAAATCAGCTGCATTCAAATTAGCGTAAGCACACTGGACAAGTGCACATGGTAATAATACACACGTGGGAGTGAACAAGAGCTGTAAACTCTGCAAAGAAGTCTTTAAAAAGTACATTTTTACAATGTGGCTATGCAAGTGATAACACAGCTTGTAACACAGCTAATACAGAAGATGAGATCAAGATTGCTCTGGCATTATGTTCTGCTTACTCTGCAGGGAAAGGAGATTAAGCACTCCTTTCTTGGCCACAGCAGTGCAGCCAACTTTTGAGAGGAAATAAAACTAAGACTCTGGCCAAGCTGGGATTTCAATTCTGTGCATGCTGCATGATTACATCCTTGCTTCAGGCACTCTTTTAACAGTGGGTTTCAATCTTTTCCACACATGAGCACCATTGCAATTGCCACCACTCGGCACCCTTAACACCTGCCAGCCTACCAACCTTTTTCTCTCCTTCTGATAAAACCTCTTTTTTCCTGGGACTGCTTTCAGGCACACAGCACTCTCCCAGAGACAGTGCTTATCCTAAAGGAAGCACTTCAAAAAGCTCACAACAAAGGAGCCAGGCATATAAAATGGAAGAGAGTTCCTTTACAACACTACACATATATTGGTATTGGTAATACAATGAGGAATATCCTATAGTGACTGTACCTATCATTATCTGAGTATTAACCCTAAAAACAATTTCTCCAGATATTCATGCATAGCTATTATAAAAATGCATTGTAGCCCTACACTTTATTTTATATACTTTTTACTACTTTAACAAATTTGTTAAAATTTTTAAATTTGCTTAATTTGAACATTATGTTAACACAACTCTTCAGCATCAACAAGTGCTATTTTTTTCCTCATATGTAGACTGATGACTATGCAGACAATAAATCCACAGAACAGCTTTTTAGCATTAATACTGCTTAAAAGTAGCTAGTGTTCTGCTAAACCCCATAGCATGAAAATATCTTCTTTATTAGAAACAGCATGATGGAAAACATCTTACTCTGAGTAAAGGTCTGGTTATTTCCCCATGGCCACTTCTACATCAGTTACTAGACCTATGTATTAGGCTGTTAGCTCATTGCTGTACTATGTAAAAATCAGTTTTTCAGCATCTCTGCTGCTCTGTTTTGCTACTGCTTTTGTCTGTTAGAGAACGAGTGCTTCTTTTATCCTTCCTTTACCAAATACTAGACTGAGCAATTCCATGTCCTATGCAGTGTAGCCCCCTGAGATGTACACATTTTCCTGTAAAAGCACGTTGCTAGAAGCTGACTCTACCTCTGTCTGTAGCCCCTGTCTATTTCTAAAGAGCCTGTGAAAGACAACTAACAGAGATTAAACTATGCTAATATCGGTAAATACACAGCACGAGACTTCATCTCCACCGGCGAGCTGTGAGCGGGCGGGACAGCGGGCCCGCAGTGACCCCGCCGGGGGCGGCGGGCGGAGCGCTCCGGCCCTTCGCTCCGAGCAGACACCGGGCAGACACCGAGCAGACACCGGGCAGACACCGAGCAGACACCGAGCAGGACACCAGGCAGACACCGAGCAGACAAAAGCAGTAGCAAAACAGA